GTGTTACGGGGTAACTAAATAAAAGAAGAATACCCTTGTAAACAAAATTTATTTGGGCGCGGTTCGTTATTTTAAAACCCAACGGTTATTCACTGAACTTTTGCCTTCCTACGACCAGCAGCTGGTACTCCCCTGGCTGTTCCGCCGAAGTAACGTCCGGGGTTGAAGTAACCGGGACAGGAACGGATCCGTCCGCCGAAATGAAGTCCGGGGGTGCGGGTTGTGAGTGTCCGCCGGATAGATGTCCGGGGCACGATGTCGCTCTCTGGGCTCAGGCCAGCCGACGAGGAGAACGGTAGTAAGGTACCGGAACCTCGGACCCTGGAATACCCATAGGTCCACTTAGCACTGTCCACGGTTTGCTCCCCTGATTGTGACAACGGCAGTGAACAAAGAGGTGGGGAAAAGCACCATGTTATCAATGCAGTGTTGCGTGATTGTCACAATCAGAACGGAGTAACATGGAAATTCCAAAACATTTCAAATTACAAAAAATAGACAAACATTCAAAATCAAAAAGAAACCGTTACGACTACAATTTAAATAGGCGTTACAAGAAGGCATAATATAGGTAAAAGAAAGTTACGTGTTCAACACTTACCAAACAAGTGGGTTTAAAAACACAAACGATTTAAATACTTTAAATTACGAAAAAATATTAACTTTGCGGAAATCGCTATTACGAGAAAATGCGCGTGCGTCTCTCTTCAAGATAGATTTTGGAGTGAGCCGTCGTCCAAGCGGTAGCGGGACAGCGGCTTGCCTGATACCCCGCAAAGGGGGCGAGGAACCGAACCAGTTGTCGCCTATAAAAAAAAATGGCTCGCGCGCATTCCTCGTTCGATAACTCTAAGGTATACGTTCCACTGTTGGACACGGGACTCTTCCGAATACATCCTAAATAAAATAAATAAAATATTATTAATTTACTACGTTACAAGGGCTGGTAGTTGTTAGCGCTCAGTTACACGAGGAGAAAGTTTTCACGCGCCTTCATGTGCAGGCGCATTGGCTGCACACTCGGCCGCCGCGCGGGGTGAGCGCGACGAAATTCGTGTCGAATAAATGCAACCTAAAGGTAGAGATGGTTAATATAATATATAGCTCAAATTATAACGTTAAATTAAAAAATTATTATAGCAATTATAATTTGAAAGACAAAAAGGTGCTAAAATTATAACGAACTTTTTTTCACTTTGGATTGGAGTACGTTAAGAAAATGAAACCACATGCCGTCTAGCGACTTAATTTTACAATATTTCAATGCCATACCATCAATCTATCCGTGCTTTACCCTCGCAGCTAACAAACAAAATCCTTCTTCGTCCTGAGTTATCTCCTTTAATATTTCATAGATGGCACTATATTCTGTGTGAAAATTGCAGCGCTTGTCATTGGTTGAAACGATTATAACGTGAAATACTTTCACATATTATTTGTAGCATTTAACGTTTGGTGCGAAACGCGAAATAGCTGATTGGTTTATTGATGTTAAATTTCACGTTTGAGTACGCTAAGCAAGTATTATAATTGTAGTTGTTATAAATTATAATTTTGGTTACGTTTAAATACGATTTTGAGGTAATGGCGGAACGTTAGCAAAATTTCGTCTGGTGAAGCGATTTAAATTAAGATATAATTAAGTACTTGGATTTATTTAGTTAGTTTATCGTTTTTTTAATTAATAAGTCTTTGAAATATTTGTACATAAAAGTTATGAGTGTAATTTACTGTAAATAACCAGTGTAAAGTTTTGTGCAAATTGTAAATAGTAAATTGTTAAAGTATGAAGGTAAGCTCATTGATTTATCGTCTATAACCTGTAATCATCATATTATGTAATAGTTACAAAACAAATGAAGTCGGTCGTAACTAACCATAAAAAACTGTAAGCTATTCTATAGATAGACCATAGATGCTGTGCTTAACAAGTTAGCGCACGTCAACTACTTCACGTTTCTTTCGATTCGTTACATTATCACACGACCTTGAGCTGCTAAAAATTATAATTTTAGCATTTTAAATAGCGCGCTATGAAAATTTAGCATTTAGCGTTTAGCGTGCTATGCGAATGTAGCAGTTAATCTCATCTCTACCTAAAGGTATCCAACTGGGTGACGAAATACTTAAGATTACTCATAGATGGCGCTACGGCTAAAGTCATTGAAAAACCAAATACAAAGACACGACAATAAACACAGAAAAATTCGTGAGGTCCGCTGGTTCGTTCCGTTGGTTAGTTGGTATAGCGTCTGGCACGGTATGCTATAAGACGTCGGTTCGAATCCGGCCGGATCGAAGGGATTTTTTCTGAGTGTTCGATCTTTGTATTAATAATTATAAGATACTGTGTCTTAAACCATGTATATAAGATGAAGAAGAAGAAGAATATAAACATTATAACGGGCTCAATAAAATTTGAGTGAAAGGTCATTTGAAACTTAAAATAGAAATTACGTTACCGGTGACAGGATCCGCAAAGAACGCGAATCAGACCGTGAGGCGATCCTCGCCGCGTTAATATGCCGCACCTTCAGGGACCGAGCTGTGATCTTCGTGCAGACAAAGAAGCAGGCGCATCGGCTGCACATTGCGCTAGGAATGCTGGGCATTAAGGTAATCTTTTCGTCGCTGATCATTGTATATCATATATGTTTATGTGGTATAAAAGATGCCCAAACTCAAAAACTCCCAATCCCACGAGAGAAATATATGCCATACGAATAATTCTCCCGACTTGGGACCTTTGCGTGGCAGTCCGTAATGGTTCGGCCACAGAGGCAGTTAGTGTTATAGTTATAATGACCAGGATATAAAAAAAAAAAAGGACATGACCAAACCATGACGAAGCATCCTTCTGCTCGAAGCTCCCTGTGAAAGAGTTTGTCCAGGAAAGTACCCACATAAAGCCTTACCTATTTCTACCGCCAAGCAGTAATGTGAGCATCACGGTTTGGAAGGGTAAGGGTGCTGGTGAAATTACAGGCACATGGGTCTTGTCAACGTATGTCTCAGGGTGACTGGTACAGTGGACTAGGTAAAAAATGGTAATTTGACTTACAACAACTTATTTGGGAGGTATCAAAGTATATTGTCCTTTTACTTCTTTAGGTAGCAGAACTTCATGGAGCGTTGAACCAACCCCAACGTTTAGATTCTCTTAAGAGGTTTAGAGAAGAACTAGTGGACGTGCTGGTGGCCACAGACGTCGCCGCTAGGGGTCTCGATATACCAGGAGTCAAGACTGTAGTAAACTTTACGTTGCCAGCAACACTCGAGCATTACATTCACAGGGTAAGGTATATTTTTGGTGCCTATCTTGTAAGGGTCTATAAGCGTCAATGCGGTGGAAGGGAACCGGGCGGGTTCCCTGTTCTTCCCTGTGAATTATATACCTTGAAATTTACTTAAAGAAACTCTTATTTAGCAATAACGCATCTATTGGACTTTGGCATCTTTTAATATACTGTTTGTCGAGTTTCATTGAAATCTAGAAATTTTTTGATTAAGTCTGTTATACAAACCATAAGCAATAGTCGAGAAATTGTTTTGTGTTAATTGATATTTGTGTTAATCGTAACTTTATTAAAGAGTAGCGGTAGAACTCCTTGTGAAAGAGTTCGTCTAGGCGGAGCTCCGTCACTCGTTCAAGGATATGCGATAAGTGCCTACCGTTGAGTGTACCGTCGTCGGCACAAGCGCTCATACAAGTCTTTCGTTTATGAGTATTCGGCTCCGCACGACTGCACACGGCGGGCAACGTCATTATCACCTCTCTGAGCGCGTGCTTAGGTTCCTTTTTTACTTGTAGTGAGCGCCTGGTGTCATTAGTCAGTTTTAGTAGGCTATTATATCGTAGGTATTTTCGATTTTGTATGAGAGTAATGCATCTGTTACGTAGTAACTTAAGTAATCTGTGGCCCAGGGAAGTACTGCCACGTTAGCTATTTGTGTCACCAAGCAGCAATGTGAGCATTACTGTGTTCCGGTTTTCAAGGGTAAGGGGTGCTGGCGAAATTGCAGGAACGTTTGACTTTTCAACTTATGTCTCAGAGTGACGGGCGCAATGGCAGTGCCTATAAGATCTTTGCGATTTATAGCTCTAAGTGGCATTGCAACTGCGCTATGGACAGACGTGTCGTTTGTTATCGTCACTTGGTATTATTAAAAAAAGAGTTACTACATTATTAAAATTGAAATTGATAGATAAGCCATTTAGCACTTTTTTCAATCTACTTGTTATTGAATATCGTCCGAAAAATCTTGGTAATGATGCCGTGTGCAACGCAACATAACTGTTACGTAAACTGTCACCCCTCCCGCACGGCGTAGCCTCACCTCAGGAACCGAATCAATTAAGAGTCGATACAAACTCAGCTCGAGTTAAAAATTTTCCCGTAATGAATCGGTTCCGTTGCGCGGGTCCAGCGGCAGGCGTACTGGCTTTATTTCAGAATTAATTTTTTTTTACAAACGGAATTAAAGTCACTTGGAAAATCTATATCTTATACTTATACGTGTTCTATTTAGTTCAGTTGATATAAAAAGAATCATTGGTATATGTAAAGTACTTATTGAATACAGCGGTTTTCTTGTAAAATTTCGGTGTAAGTTTGTGTTTTTTTTCTACCGTGAAAATTTTTAAGAATCGTGTTTTCATTCCGTATACTAAATCGGTGTATGTCCTCAATTTTACTATATATTTTTTCCAAATTGATTGATTCAATAATTTCACTCGTTATATGGAATCAACCAAAGCCATTTGAGGTTGTGTCGATTCTTAAGCGGTAGGCCTGTACATTATTATTGATACAAAATTTGAACAAACACAAAGAAAAATTCCTTCGATCCGGCTGGAGTCGATCCAGCGTCTGTTTGCCAAACCGGGGCTTCCGTTATTACCAATTGAGCTACACATCGAATCAGCAGACCTTTCTAAATTCTCTACGTGCTACGTGCAGATCTTTGTTATCGCATTTAATAGGCTTTTTTGCTGAAACTTAGGTAAGTTTTCTTCATTTAAAAAAGACAGGGATAGTATGTACAGTAAGATTTTCCTATCTACTTGTACAGGTAGGTAGAACAGCCCGTGCCGGTCGCGCAGGCGTCTCGGTGTCACTCGCGGGGGAAGCAGAACGCACCTTGGTCAAAGCCATAGTGAAGCGGGCCAAGCGGCCGGTCAAGTCGAGACAAGTGCCGCCGGATATAGTTGCCAAATACCGCGACCGGCTGGCTAAGATTGAACCGGAGATTGGTAAGTGTAAGGGTGTCTCTTATTCCAGCGTGACCATGGTCGAGATTTTGAAATTTTACTAGTCAAGTAAAAAGTCACCATTCAGGCTGCTAACAGATTGACTGTTTGCAATTAATGCGTGAAGTCGTAATCAACTTCAGGCAGCCGAAACCACGACTACATGAAGTTGATAACGACTTAGTCGGTGTGGCTGTAAGTGGAATGTCTTTAGGGCGCTAGTAATTCTTTGCCTGTGCTATCCTGGCTAAAATGATATAGAAGTACTCACGCGTTCCTGCCTTCACTACGACGGCAGCGGTGCGGGTGTGAGTCTTCAACTGTGCAGATGGAACAGTCTTGCTTGTATGTAGTATAATGATCAGTAGCAGAAATAGAATAGATAAAAACTGAAAGGAGTTATTATAACATTTCAATTACAAGGGGCATTCGATATCATAGTATCTTGTATAACACAGGCAGAATAACACCGGTTTCGAATACATGCAGTTAATGCGTGAAGTCGTTATCAACTTCATGCAGTCAAAGTCTCGGATAACGACTTCACGCATTAACTGCATACAGTCGAAACCGACTTCGTGCAGATAGTGCGTGAAGTCGTTTCAACTTCATGCAGCCGAGACCTGGACTGCAAAAAGTTGATTATGACTTCCATGCATTAACTGCAAACATGCAGTCAATCTGTTATCAACCTTAGTCGGTTCTACTCGCAAAAACTGTGTTTTACTATCCACACTGGCTTATTCCAGTGGCACCTCTCGGTCCACCACAGAAGAACTATAGCACCTAGCTTAGATCTGATTGCACTAGAAAAGTCGTGATTTAGTCGTTACGCCATTTTATGTTGAAAAGTTGTTTTACTGTCCCGCCCTGAAATACTCTTATTCCGGAGGCACCATTTTTGAATCTCGAGAACCACAGCTCCTAGGTATGATCTGATTGGACCCAGAAAAAAGTCGTGAATTAGTCGGTTCGGATCGCAAAATTTTAGATCGTCACGTGTCTCATCCTTATATTATCTCTATTAGGGTTGTCTTTTACGCAAATGTATAATAATGTATATTTCTTCTCCAGCGGCGATTCTCGATGAGGAATACGCAGAGAAACAGCTAAACAAAATGGAAAAGCAGACGAATAAGCTAGAAGGCGCCCTCAAACCGGAGAAAGAGGAAGGTCCTAAGTTTGAGGTGCAGAGGACGCATGATTGGTTCCAGACGCCGAAGGAAAAACGGGAGGAGAAAGAACGTCTGACCTTGACTAAAACTGACGGGAAAGGTAAGGGAGCTATAAGTCTGTTACCTTGCCCCAGTTATACACTTCTTATTCAGGGGCGTCTCGAAACATATAAGCAAAGGTCACTGAACATTTTCGGGCAGTCTTCTTTCCCCTGAGGCTCAAATTATTTTGCGGCGGAACGGAATGGAAGAGAATTTTTGTAACGATTATATTTACATAGCATAATCAACTTTATGGTCAATTGTATAACGTACAAACTAGATACGAAACCAAAATCTTCCGCGGAATGCGCGAGTAGTATACTTGAGCGTGCGCGAGAATTCCGCAGAAGATTGACCATAAAGTTCATTATTACAATATCGTTACAAAAGTTCGCTTCCATTCCGCCGCAATATAAATTGAGTCTAAGGCGCCGCGCAAACGTGTGTCTTGTATTCGATACAAGCAACCGGCAACTATACTCTAGCCAAATTCGATGTAGAATGCTTCATAACAAAACGATGCTGGGCAACCAATATGGCATAGGAAAAGAACATTTTTTTTTTCAATGCTCGTTATGAAGGCTTGCTCTGGATTTTAATTGGAATTTAAATAGGTAAGTAGGTAATTGGGTTATGTAGAAGTAATACTTACCTATCCAATCTAATCCAATTATTATAAAGTTTCCAAAATACTTATTGATACATATGATTTAGGGATTAAAATAAGTGTATGCGTCCTATTTATATATATATATATATATATTTACTGCTAGATGGTAGGTAATGGTAGACGAAAAGAAACAAAATTGTAAGATTTTATTTGATATTAATTTATCACGTGTTATCATCCAGCATCTATTTCCGATTCTGAACTTGAATTACCACCAGAACTCGAATGTTTGCAATCTCTCCCTTCAAATCAATAAGTCGCTAGGAATGACACAGTTTTACAAATGATTAATTACTGATCATTTTCACTTCCGTTGAATAATGTTCATTATAAACAAGACTTCAAGATTTAGTATTATCCATAATCTAGTTGAATTTCGGGGGAAAATATTGAAATTGTGGTTACTGTGAGAGTCTGAGATGAAAACCCTAGAAATCATATGTTTTTTTATTGACATTTATTCTACATCGAATTTGGCTAGAGTATAGAAGCGAATATTCTATTTTCATACAATTGATATGAAAGCGACACAGTCGCCGGTTGCTACGACCTCAATCCTGAAGACGCGGGACTTATTTTTTGGCTCATATCTAGTTTTGTAGCAGTAGAGCTCTTTGTGAAACGTCCAGGGAAGTAGTAGCAGTAGAGCTCCTTGTGGAAGAGTGCGTCCAGGAAAGTACTCCCACCTTACCTATGTCTGCCCCCAAGCAGTAATGTCAACATTACTGTGTTTCGGCTTTGAAGGGTAAGGCTGCTGGTGAAATTACAGGCACATGGGACTTGTCAACTTATGTCTCAGGGTGACGGGCGCAGTGGGCGTGCCCCTCAGATCTTTGTGATTTAAAGCTCTGAGTGGCACTGTAACTGTTATGGCCAGGCGTGTCGCTTACCATCAGGAGCACGACTTGTTCGTCCCGTCACTTGGTATAATAAAAAAAAACAATTGATCAAGTTTATTAATCATTATGGTATGGTTTATGGTTATTTGAAATTGAGTATTACGTAAGTATTTGTGATCTAGAGTTGACAGCGGTTTGACCAACCCCTTGGCAGGTCAAAGCTTTTTATTCAAGGAAAATTGCAAATTCAAATGCAATCAAATAATATAATAAATGTATTTGTTTCAGAAAAACCTCAAAAAGGTAAAGGTAAGAAACGCCAGCGCGAGGACGACTCTGACTCCGATGTTGGCAAAAAGAAACGTAAGCAAACTAAGCACAAGCCTAAAGACACACCCGAAGAGAGGGTGCAACGGGAGATGGAAAAGGTGAGTTTCTTCGTGGAAATGGAAATGAAAGTTTTTTTTTCGGATTTAAATCGCGGGTATTTGGTTTTATTTTTTCAAACAAACCAACGTTTCGGGCTCTTTACAGGTTCCATGGTCGTGGCTGAGTTTCTTCATAGAATGCTTTAAGTTCAAATACTTCTTATAAAATTTTAGGTTTTTGTATTTTCGATATAAAACGATTGCAAAGAAGCCATATCCTAAACGTCTACTTAATTACAACACAATCTCTGAAAGACCCAGACAGAATCACGGCATTGTATTTAAATTATTGAAATTTTGTAGATTCAGGCGTTACTTTGCGGAAATCCAGTTGCGTTAGTTTTTTTTTTGCGGAGTTATGGTGGGAAGATCAACTACATGAAAAATAATGTTCAACTCAAGCACAGCTATTTTGTACGATTTAGCTTGCAGTGGGTTCGCGTAGTAGCAAATTAATTTACTTTTAATTTTTTACTATAACTGCTTTGCACCTTAAGATTATCGTTATTGTTAAAATTTACTTACTACATAAGTACTTAACATTTTTTTATTTATTTATTCAAAACACAATAATTAAGCTAAATATTACTTTCAAAAACCGTTTAAATAAAGAGTTTATACGAAGGTAGGATGCATCGCAAATTAACTCGCCACTTTTATTATGAGTACGACATACAACCCAAGTAGTACTGTATTACCCCTTTAAAAACTTATTTACATGAAATAATTCCATCATCCTCTTTCTATCATCGAGAGACTAGGCGTAGGCTGGCTTTCTACCACTATGTTGTTATATATCTAGGAATATTCCTAGGTTTCGCACAAAGTATCACGCTTCTTTGGTTGTCATTAGACTTGTTCCCTCAACGCGTCTAAGCGCGAGAATGAATAGGTATTAGGCGATTAACACACTGCACCGCGCCCCGCGACGCGGAATCTCGCGGTAGCGGAGACGCAGATATATAATACAGAACTCATTCAGGACGCTGCAGTTATACCGTCGATGGTTTTTGTTTACTCAAATAAAAAGACACCGAAGATAACATTCAACTTCATTACAAAGATTTAAGAAAATATTAAGATTATTTTTTCAGCTACACACGAATGTCAACTGAATCCTTTGATTATTTGTTAGGGAACATACGGACGACAATTACTGGAATAGACACAAATTGATTAAAAATCTGCGCGGTAGTGCGGAGCGCAGTGTGCCATATCCTACGGTTCGCCGCGCGGAGAAGCGTTGTCAGTGAGTTCCGCGGCGCGTGTTTTCCATACAAACTGAGGTACTTCAGTACAACGTTAAAAAACGCAGCTCCGCGCTCCGTCGCGGGGCGCGGTGCAGTGTGTTAATCGCCTTATATAGTGTCCATGCTTCATCGTCGACCTCATCGTTACTCTCCATCAAATGATGAAGGTCAGATGTTGTGAATATATTTCTGTATTTCTCTTATACAATAAAAAAAAAATAGGAACGGAAATACAAGACGCTAATTCTTTTCAGCTATTTTCAAATTGAATAAATCAAAAACTAAAACGCATAATAAATACTAAACAAAGCACTCATATTTCTTTTTTAGTTTTAGCTGTCTTTTTTTAGTCACTTTTGTTTTTACTATCAAAATAAATTCATTGATCCAAATACATATCTCGATTCTTTTTGTTTTACATACCAGTTTTTGTAAATCGTGCACAGAAACGTTTTTGCTGCATCACTTGACGCCATTACTTTTAACTCGTGTATTGTTTAAATACAATTTAATTTTCAGGTCGCTCTCTTACAATCACGTATGGCGAAACGCAAGAAAAAACAGAAGCGTATCCGTGCAGTGGACGATGACGACGATCGACCGCAACAAACAAATAAAAAGCCAAACAAATTTAAGAAAAAGCAAAGCAACTTTGCCATAGATCTTACCGATACGTCAAAATCTACAGCTAAGAGACTCCGATACGACGCGAATCAAGCCCAAAAAGGAAAATTCCAAAACGGAAGATTCAGAGGTCCAAATGAAAAAAAGGGTCAAAAAGGAAAAGACGGCAAGGGAAAAGGGCAGAAAGGCAAAAGTGGAAAGACATTCGGTAAACCTAAAGCACCTAAAGCTGGAAGTCGAAAGAAAAAATGACCTATGTAAAAAATTGTGAATAAAAATTATTTTTAAGTATATTTGGTTCAGTTTAATTTCTTTTAATATTCTCTTGAAGTAAGTAGTATGTAGTTAGAAAACGTTGAAACACGGCAATAGATGGATGATAATATGCTTGATTGACGGAGCAAAGTGAAAAAGGATATGGCAACTGTTAGTACCTTTCTTGCTGTTCTATATCTAGATATTTCAACTTCAGAGGCAAACTACTGACACGGCATCAGCTGTTCTACAAAACGTGCATCTAACGTACGATTAACGAGAGTAACGAGGCTGCGAACGTAGTTCCCAGTGCTTAACCACATGGGCTACGTGATGCCACCTTTACTTCAAATTTTCACATTGATTGTGTGGCAAATACTTTTATTTTTATTGAATATCATGTTTATACTACCATGATATTATTTTTTGTTTTGTTATTAATACCAAATTCGAACAAACACAAAGAAAACTTCCTTCAAACTGGCTAGACTCGATCCAGCGTCTGTCGCCTCAACGTGACTACCGCTCTGCCAACTGTACTACGGATCGTCAACGACCCGACACGAACCAGCGTATGTGCCTTAATGTGGCTACCGCTGTAAAACACACAACTATAATTCGATTTCAATTGATATTTTAGTAAATTTCTATAACATCATTAATTTAAAAGTTTCAAAAAAAGTAATAAAACTTACATGTCAATTCATTGCCTATGATTAAAATTTATACTTTATACATACATACATTTTTTCATTAAATTAACGAAAACTTTATCGATATATCCCATCTGCATCTAGCAAATCGACTGTGAACTGGCAATCGGTACTATCTCAATTTTGACAACTTTACAGGATGAAAAAAAATAATTATATAGCATCTAGTTTATTAAATAAAAATACGTAGTGTACATACATACATGTGTAATAAAAATATTTAAAAAGTACGCATTTTTATTCAATAAACCAGATGCTAAAGAAATGAATGAAGTTGTCAAAATTGAGATAGTACCGATTGCCAGTTCACAGTCGAAATGCAGTGTAATGAAGTAACGTGTGTATGTTGTCGTAAAAATACATGAATAAAAAAAAATTCATTTAATTCTTCCAGGTGTTATTTTCGCTTTAACTTAATGTATTTAGTTACAAAAAACTTATTCATTTAAAAGCAAGTGCACGTTCTACAAGGTTATATTTTGTGGATTTTTATGAACTGTCTGTCACAGCGATCATCCTAGATTATTTTTGATATGGTTAGCCCAGTCGGGTCGAATTTTTCTTAGTGTTTGTTCGATCGTTGCATTAATATCAATAAGTTTAATTTGATTTTGGATTTTTGCAATTCGTAAATCTTGTAAGACAAATATGTTAAAAATAAAACATCAAACGTTAGTGGCAACCTTTTATTTAATCGTCGCCTTACTAAATTTTGTTTAATCTACATTATCCTAGGGGTGTCCCAATTCCATCCAATTTACATCGGGCTACCACCTTTTACGATACTACGGTAAAAATACAAGCTTCTGTTAGAGATTATTAACAATAGACTGTACAGTCTAATTTGGGAATACATGAACGCTTTCACGACAAAGCAGCTGACGGAGTTGTCCAACGAGCTCTCAAATCCCATACTAATGCGTCGGTCGTGAATACCACAAAATAGAAAAATAGTATGGGATTACGCAGCTTGTTCTACAAAAAAATGCTCGAGTTGGCGTTAAAGGCTCTGAAGATTACCGTGTACCACCTGGAGTTGTGTAATACATACTAATATAAGTTCGTACAATATGTTTGGCAGAGGTACTTTTCTACACAACGTTCATGTATTCATTAAAAAAAATTACATTAAAAGCTATGCTTTTCAAAGTCATGGGTCTTAAATAATAAATGTTTAAAACAAGCCATGATGCTTTTGAGGCAACAAAATTTTACATCAATCTATTGAACATTATTTTAAAACGATTTTCGAGATCTCAATTTATATTTTGGTATTACAGATAGTAATTGTTACAAGTGATACATGTTTCACGGTATAACTAGATGAACACTCTTCGGAATCACAAGACCCTCTTTTATGTCTATTCACGTCTTCCTTACTCTGTACTTTCTGATATATTGTGGGAGAGAACCACATCTGTCTATAACTTTTAATGGAGAAACTAAATTTTGCATATAACTTTTAATGGAGAAACTAAATTTTGCATTATTAGTAGTGATTGGAATTGACAGATTTTTATATTTTTATTAACAAGTCATGCGCCTGATGATAAGCTACTCGCCATAACGATTTACCTAAAGTATGACGTTCCCTTTATATGGACATATCCATTTTGTCAACAATGAATAGAATAGAATTAATTTATTGTCTGAATGTGGTGAACATTAAGGTCTTTATGAACATAATTACAGTCCTCACAATCTACCCGCTACGGGCTAATGCGTATAAAATATCATTTACTGTTTATTTTCTAAACATTCCAAAATATAGGTTGTCTCACGTTTGTTTTTTAAATGGCTAAAGTATACCTATAGAAACACAATTACAATATAATTTTTTGAGACAATAATATGTAACAAATAATTAATAGGAAATAATAGTTTGTCGCCAATGTACTCAAATTTTAATAAATAATACGCATATTGAAATATAATCAGTTCCCAGAATTCCCGGGATTTGTAGAAGGGAATATCCACGTTACTATTTAGTTTAGTTGAATTAACTATCTCAATTCCGTTTACTGAATAGCAGGGTAGAATTCTATTTTTCAGCACGCTTTAACATTGCATCTATAGTTGTGTATTACATGCTTTATGATCAGCAAAACGTAGACTTCTACGCATCTTCGATTAGATTGGGAATGTCATTAAAAGGTCTAGTTAACAGTACTAAAGAGTTGAAAAGGTTAAAAGGTTTTGTCAAGAGCTTAACAAGTGGTAATTCATGCAGGTCTTGATACAGATCAGTGAAACCATTTCTTGAAAATACAGGTGTAATTTATATATATATATATATATATATATATATATACACACATACACACATCATCAGCAAACTTAAAAGCTATTTAAAGTACAGAGGAGTGGCGCCAACCCTAATTGACAAATCTCTAACATTATATTGATGCTATAAGTTTCTTTGCAATTGGTATCAAATATAATTTTCTTGTAAGCTGGTGATTACTTGAATAATATCTACATATAAAATAATCCCGATGTGTGTTTTTTTTAAGCCGTCGTCGGAGAGGGAGAGTGATATAAATACTGCTATAGTTGTTTTACACCAATATTTTGTACGACTTTTAATACAAGTTATATGTTTTAAGATGCAAGTTAATAACGAGTTAAAACTTCGGTAATTATCCACATGACATGTATCCATAGTTGTTAAAAGAAGATACAGTGATTAGAAGAGTAGCAATGCCGTTTGACCATAAACAAAAAACTTTAAAAAATATATATTTATCGTTTTTACCAATTGTATTATACTCTACGCCATTTGGACATTGTACTTTCCCATCCATGATATACAAATCTATAAAATAATATATGTTCAATCCACATAATTTCTAATAACTATTTAATTTATATGTAATATGTAAATGAAAAAATATCAGTCCCTATATTTAAAGTTTAGAATTTGAAAATTAAAATACACACAAACTTTATTAATATTATGTTCTCTTGTTATTTACACTTCTGAGGTAGCAAAGTACATTTAAATTGCTCATATTTTTCTTTAGTCTTTAAAATATTGTAACATTAACTTTATTAAACAGCGTGATATTTTACTATCAAGATATTAAATTATGTGTGTGAAATTACTTCACTATATTCTCTCTTTTTTTAACACGGAGTAAAATGATAATCCATTGCGCAAAAAGTTACCCGCTTGCGAGTGAAATTGATCTCGATATTAGTAGGCCAACAGTCAAAATACGACAATTAGCAATCATTAGAGCATCGTAACATTTACAATTCAGTCATTTTTGGGCAAAATTTTATCTTCTTTCACAATCTATCGATAAAAAATTTAAAATTTTATGAAAACTGGAAATCCTACAAATGTCATTTTACTCCTTCTTCAAAACCGACTATAGTTTGTTGTAATTATTAATACAAAAATTGAACACTCAAGGAAAATTCCTTCGATCCGGCTGGATTTGAATCAACTGCTTTCAGCAGTGCCTGACGCTCTCCCAACTGAGCTACGGAACGAACCAGAAGACCTTATGATTTTTTTGGTTTTTAACGACTTCTTTGTCGTAGCGCCATCTGGAGAAATCTACGAAAGCTTTTCTTAATTTCGCCAGGTGCCTTTAAAATATTCTTTAGGAAATTGTACTAAGCACTACTGTACTCTGAGCTTATATTGGGTGTATCATTAGCGCTGTTTTTCCGAGCAATGTTTACATTATGTTGATTTCAGTGCGCAGCCTTTACGCTTTACCATAAACAACATTGTAAAACGTGCGCGGTGGCATTGAATTTTTGTATAAAAACCGCCAGAAACAGCGGCGCCCTCGGTATGTGATGCAATTCAATGAAATGGGGCATTCATTATTCTGCATTGCAGTCCGCAATTATAAATGTAGTCGCAGCGTGCAAGCCATCCGGCAATCCTGCAATGAATTGCAATGTAAGATTCCATATGTGGGCCATAGCAGGATAGTGTGGGAGCAGTTTTCTGCCTGCGTGGCGGACTGCCATGCAGGTAGTGAATGGGCCGTTTTAAGTAGTTTAAACTATTTAGCACACTATCATTCGCATCATGTAGGGCTAGTTGCGATGGGCGTACCATATCTTTCGTATATCTGCTTTTGTTATCTCAGTACAACTAGTTGTATTCTCATTGGTATGAATTTCATTATTGCAAATTGTTTTATTGAGCAAATCAAACGACACTTTATACCTTCAGTGTGATAACTTTAAAGAAAAATATATAATATAGGCACTGATTGTTAATCTAGATGCTTAAAAATATGTACAATCTTAAAAATCAAAA